GTTTGTAGTTAACGACCCCAGTCATGATGTCTAATTTTGGGTCGGGATGAACTGAACCACTACTATTCCATTTGATTATATCCATGGCTTGATGTAGGGTTTTTGAACCAAGGAGGATGCGTAGACTAGTTTAGCTCTCGCTTGTTCTTTCTAATTCTAATGTAAGTAAGCGAGGTTGTCCGTTTCTACAGTTAGTAGTGGTTTCATGTCTACTGCTGTCAGTGGCACGACGTAAGGTTGGACAGGTTTTGTTTGGGGTCAGACCTTTGAGTTTTGGTCAGCATGGTTGACGTTAAGGGAGGCCTTGTCTCCTGGGGAGACAGATATGTTCAAGGAGTTTTAAGTTATGGGCAAAGGAGTCATCTCTTCTCGATTCGGTTAGTAGTGATGTGTTGATCTTCATTCTCTTTCAGTGGGCATGATTTTGACCTTGGGGGAGTCTCCTCTCAAATTCTACGTACGTGTTGGGTTTGGAAATCTATGGGGTTTGGTCGCAATTTTGGGCATCCATTGTGGTGATGGCTCGATCAAGAAGTGATTGATCTTGGAAGATCCCTTGAAGGGATTGGGAGGAGGGGCTGTCGCAGGAAGATTAGTAAGGGAAGATTTCAAGGACAAAATCTAATTTAAGTGGGGGAAAGTTGTAACACCCGTTTCCTGGATTGGGTCGGTTTAGGGCTTTAAGGAGTCAAAAACTTGGTTTTGTGGAAAACCTAGTGTCACGAAGTGACCATAGAGTGGTCACGAAATGACAATTCGAGTTAAAGAACATGTGCATTGGAGGAGTGGTCACGGCGTGATACATAACTGACCACAAACGTGAAAAGGGTTGCAACCCAAGCCCTTGATCTTTTAGGGTTTTCTTTGTATTTAAGGCACCCTAAACTCGAACTTAGGGTTCATTTCTCAGCCTCCATCATTCTTAAACCGAAAAAACCCTAACCCTAGTTCATCTTGGTGGTTTTGGTGCTCCTTGTTGAAAAAGATGGCCCCTTTGGTGCATTGTTTCAGCAATCCACCTTCTTCCTCACCACCTTGTATTGTTTTTGGACCTTTGTAAGTCCTAAAGATCTTTCCTTTCTTTATTAAGCATGCTAGATCAAAGTTTTTTGCATTTTTCTTCATGTTTGGGTTGGGTAGCATGCATGGGATCCATAAAGTTAGCAACTTTATGGATCATTGAGTCCTTTTGTAACGTCCCAAAAATCCAAGGTAAAATTTTCATTTTTAAAACAATAAAACATACAACGATTTGTTCCAAACCGATCAAGGTATTATTTAAACATCAGAGTAATATCATTAATTACCAATGCGGAAAACTTTGGGGGATGTTGTACAGTCATGTCGGTCCCTTCCCTTTCGAACTGAAAGTACCTGAAACCATAAATATGAAACCGTAAGCACAAAGCTTAGTGAGTTCCCCAAAATACCACATACCATAATATACAAGTGCCATGGGCTACCCCCATGTTCTTTCCTTGCAATGTCGAGGGCCCAATCCTGGTCTTACATACAAGTGCCATGGGCTACCCCCATGGTCTTTCCTTACAATGTCGAGGGCCAAATCCCGGTCTCACATACAAGTTCCAGGGGCCAGATCCTGGTCTTTCATACAATTTCTAGGGGCCAGATCCTGGTCTTTCATGCAAGTATCATAGAGACAACTAGCATTCTACATAACAAATTATTGGGGCGACATTGGTGCCTTCGACCCATGAATATAGTGAGAAAACTCACCTCAAACTGCTGAAAATAAGATAAACACTCGGACTGCTGATCTGAAAAATCCTCCTGCTAATCAATTAAATAAAACCCCAATTAATAATTAGGCCATAAACCATAACTAAAAATATGATTCATTTGTCCACCTCCCAGGGTAAAAGACCATTTTACCATTTCCTCACTTGGCCCAATAACCGAGGCCCAAACCAATGGCACCAAACGCCCAATATGGCCCAAATTCCTAAATGATAATTAAAGCCCATCATGGGCCCAAATCCAAGAAGGCTCAAAGCCTAACAATGGCCCAAAGTTAGAAAGACTAGTGGCCCAAGAAGGCCCAAAACCCTAATAGTCCAAATATGGCCCAAATCTCAAAAGTCAACAAAAGTCAATGGTTGTTGAGTACGCCCGACTTACTCAGGCTTACGCCCTGCGTATGCCCTCTTTGGCTAGTATGCGCTGCGTACGAGCTGGGTACGCCCAACGTACTCCACAGTCAACCCAACTCACCATTAAGTGCTTAATCAGTTAAGCCACTATGTCCAATTCTCAGATTTGATCCTAAATGATGTCTTAACACGTAAAGTTGGCAACTTTACGCTTTTTCATGTCTTAATGGGACCCAAACTCAATAAAAACCCACAATAAGAACCCTTACTCATGCATGGTCCAAAATAACACATCAAGATTGCATTTTTATGAACAAGGGACCTCAAAAGTGCTAAAATCTACCATCCCTAGCTTCTGGATTAGCTCATACTCTCATGCATGACTTAAAAGACCATAAATAGCACAAAATCAAGCCCTAACTAGATCTATCAAAATGAACCATCAAGTTAATAGCTTTATACTTCCAAAAGCTTTCCAAGTTGGTGATGATTCTGGATCCGCAAGCTTCAACCACACCATAGCAACATCCAAGATATTTTCTTCCTTAAAGATTACCAAAAACCCTTTCAAAGATCACTTCCAAGCTCAAAACACTCAAAAAGAAATTAGGGTTTCATTCTCAGGGTTTGGAGAGGTAGAGGCTGAAGATAATAAGCGTTCCCAATACGTTAAGGTGTTTAAATAGGTTCCAAGACCCAAAACTAGGGTTTTGGTCTGTTTGGCGTACACCCAACGTACGTGGGTGGTCCAACGGGATCATCTGAGCCTCGTACGCTCAACGTACTCCCTTGTACGCCCAACGTACTTGGCTTAACCTAAATCCTTGTGACTTCAAATGCTCATAACTTCTTCGTTCCAACTCCAATTTTGACATCGTGGTTTGGACTCCAAGCATGAGTTTTGGCTTCATTTTCCTTTATTTTGACCTAGTTAGTGTTCAAGTCATGCATTGGACATGCATGACTAAAAAACTACGATTTTTATGGTCCTTTGGGTTGGGGAAAGCCTTGTGGAAGGTTGGAAGGTTTGGCTTAAAAGATTAAGGACTCAAACCATTAGGATTTTGTTTTAGACAACGGTCACGTCGTGACCAGGAGATTGTCATGATGTAACGATGTGAAGTCCCTCGACTAATTTGTCTAGATGTGTTCACGATGTGACCATGGAAGGCTCACATCGTGGCATCAGCTGTTGGGGTTGTCCGTGACTAAGTTAGTTGAGTTGGAGCGAGGTCGAGTTACAATCGGGTTGTGTGCATTATCACAACGTGGCCAAGGGATGGTCATGACGTGAGAGCCAACTGTTAGTATTGTTGGCTGGTGACTTTGACTTTGACTATTGACTTTCGAAATGGGTTGACTTTTTGTCAGATTAAGGGTTTTGGATTGTAGATTGAGAGGGTACTCTTTATTGTTGTTATGTGCCATGTAGGATCAGCCTTTGTTGGGTGAGAGTTGTGGTGTTTAATTAGCTGCTACTTGCGAGGTGAGTCTTCTCAGTATACTATAGGACACTTCGTGTCGATTATGCATGTTGTCTTTGTGACTCTTGTTGATGTGCTTGTATGTTGTATGCATGGCGCCGATCTGGGCTTAGAGTCATTACAGACTCGGGGTTAATACGGACCTGATGGAGCCGATCTAGGCTCAGATCATTACGGAATCGGGGTTAATACGGACCTGATGGGGCCGATCTGGGCTCAGAGTCACTATGGACTCGAGGTTGATACGGACTCGGGGTTGCTACAGACCCGATGCAACTACGTGTTGTTATATATATTGTATGTGACATTTTGGGGAACTCATTAAACTTTGTGCTTATAGTTGGATTAAAAATTTTGCAGGTATTTATCAAATTGCGAAGGCGGGATGTACACACATCAACAGTTTATGGTTCGAGATTCCACAATATCTTCATTATAAATCTGATTCCTGAATAATGGTTTATGAACAAATGGGTTGCCTTAAATTGAATTTTTGTAAAAATGGATGTTATTTACTACTTCAAAAATGAAAATTTTATCCTGAATTTTTGGGATTTTACATTATGATTTTAAAAAAACCGTCACTTACTAACATTAACATCTAATTAAATATCTCTAATGGTTAATATCTTTTAATTAACTATTATATCCTTATCTACTAAAATTTGTACTTATAAAAATAAAAAAATGATTGAAAATGTTACATAATCAATATAAATATTATTTCATAAATAAACTGTCATTAATTATTTAATATAAATAATTTATTAATAAAGAAATAAAAAATATTTAAAATTAAAACACAATTAAAGGAATAAAATGAAATCTAATTAAAAAACGATGCACTAATTGCATGAAGTATAAAAACATAATAATTATTTAATAGTATATATTAAATAATCAATAAAAATACAAGTATGTTATATGTTCAATAATTTAAAATTGTGTAAAAAAGTAGATAGTAATTTTGAATGAAGTTATGAAATTTATAAGATTTGTCCTATTATCTTTCTCATTTTGTAATCTGCTATACGATTTTCTGTGATGAAGAAGGATCGTTTTCCTTCCTCTACACACAACATGTTACCAATTGCACGATCTTCTTCCAGATTATTATAATTATTTACTTCACCACCTATGACTTCCCTACATTTTTCTATATTTGTTTCTTCTATCAAAACTTACTTTAATGTTTATATTAAAAAGTACTCATATTTACAAAATCAGAATCACTCCCCTGTTGAAAAAATTAGAAAGAAAAGCGAGAGAGATGCGATTGAAATCATGAACCATTTCCTTAATCCTTACTACGACGAAATTCCAAGTTAATTAACACAAATATATGATCATCACAATAAATTAAACAACAACACAAACAAACAAACTTAACATTATCCTATAATTCCTACCAGAAACAAAGTGAAGAAGAAGGGTTGTTGTGATGATTTAAACGAATGAACCTTTTCCTCCTAAACCCATTGGAGAAGAAGAATCCATGGCGTATCTTCATCCAAATCATTCTGTGGATCTTCTTCGCAGCACGAAGCTTTACCCATATGAGTTTCTTCACACGAAACAGAGATCTCTTCACCCTCTGACCACCGCTTTGCTTCCTGCTAAACTGATAGCTTCTCAAGAATAACTGCCGCTTCTCCACCTCTGTAATGGCGGAATATGGATACGGGTAAAGACTACCCGAACCAGTCAAGGATTCGCTTCTGAATATCGGATTCATACGAGAGAGAGAGAGAGAGAGAGAGAGAGAGGAGCAGTTTTTATGAGGAAATGTGAAAGGAGTTGTTTCTTCTATTCTATCATTCTCTCTCTATTCTGTTACTATAAAGTATTATTATTAGAAACCATGCTTTCCGCCTTCTTCTTTTGCTGTCTCCTTTTTATTTCTTTTTGTATTTAGCTTTTTAAATATTATATTGATTTTCTCGTACTACTAAACTTATTTATAGTCAAAGTATTGGTACATACTTTTAGTTAAAAATGATGATGACGATAAAAAATAAGGTCTTTTCATTTTAATAATAATTTTAATCGATATAAATATTAAGATTTATATGAGGAACTTTTTTGGAAAAACTGTTAGGTGAGAATAGCATAAGTTTATCGTGACACATTTTGTATCTTCACTAGTTTAAGTTATTTGACTAAGTGTAGAGTTTAGGATTTGTTTGGATAAGTTATATTGACTAAAATAAAGGACTTATGAAGAAATGTTGTTTATAGAGGTAGCATCTCATACGATTCGGTTTGATTCTCTGGAAATTTTGTATACAAAAAACATAATTATAAAGGAAGTATAAGTTTAAGAAAATACATAAAAATTAAAGTTGAAAAAAAAATAGGAATAATATTAAAAAAAATTGGACAAAAAATTCTTAAAATAAGTACCAAAACTTTATAAAATAAAAGCAGGGAAATCTTCAAAAAAAATTCAAATATTTTAGGTCAGTTTACGAAATAGTTCAAAATTAATTTTTTTTATAAAAAAATACTAAAAATCGGTAAAATGTTGCATTCTGATCTTTTTTTTTCTCAATAACAAATTAATTTGGGACTATTTCGTAATCTGACCCAAAATCAAAAGACTTTTCATTTAAACATATTTATACGTATTATTAAATACATGTATAAAAATATTTAAATAAAAAAGAATTTTAAAAACATTTTTTATACATATAAAGATAAGTTTTTTTATATATTTTTAAACGTTTTTATACATGTAAAGATAAGTGTTTGATTATACGAAGATTGTGTGGGCTTATGTGAAGATAATGATGAAAATTGATACGAAGACACTCCTGACGTTAAGTGTTTTCAAGATTGATCTCCGTCTGTCTACCATACTTAAGCGTGTCGTTGTCTGTTCGGTGTAGCTTTCTAGTGTATAAACAGATGGATTAGGATTTATTCAAAAGTGAGTCTTGTATCCGCATATGTTCTATCTAGGGGTGACAATTCTCGACCCAACCTATAACCCGACACGAAAATAAGCGAGTTTGGGTTTAGATTTCTGACCCACCAACCTACCAACACGTAAATTTGATGGATTGGGTTGGGTTACTTATTTGGGTTTGCGGGTCAAGCTATCAACCCGCTATATTTATTATATTTAAAAAACTAAAATTTCATTTATGAATCAATGGATATACGATACAATTGCACTTTGCATGAATGTTTTCAATTTCATTTAAATGTTCATGAATTTATAACTTTATGGCTTTGAATGAATGTTTTCATATAATATATGGGTTGATGGTTGGAAATTCAAAAACTCATCAACATTTCTTATAAAGTAGTAAACTCATAAACATTCAAATGAAATTGAAAACATTCATACAAAGTGCAATTATGTCAACGGTTCTAAAAAACGCGACATGACGCGCCTCAAAGCGTGGTGTAGCCGTTACGAAAACGTTCAAGGCGGGTTTGTTAAGCGTGACGCCCAAATAACGTGTCAAGGTGTGCCTTATTGCGATATGGTTCGAACTTTTTTTCAAGGCGCGAGTTTTTTTTTTTTGATTTTTTTATCGGGCCTAAAATAATTGAGTTTTTGTTAACTTTTTATATTAAATACTAATATAACACTTCTAAAAACTTGACATACTTGATAAAAATCAATAATTATATTATTTATCTCTTATATATATATATATATATATATATATATATATATATATATATATATATATATATAATAGTCACGCCTTGAAAAACGTCATGGCTCGCCAAGGCTTGTCATGCCTTAACTTTTACTTTGCCGCCAAGCCACGCCTCACGTTATTTAGAACATTGATTATGCCATATATTAAATTGATCCATAGATAAAATTTTATTATATATATATATATATATATATATATATATATATATATATATAATATATATATATATATATATATATATAGCTAGGTTATCATGTGGATAAACAACTATTGTGCGGACGTGTGGACAGTACTATTCTATGAAAATTACTAACATAATAGGTTGTTTAGTAATGTGAATATGTTCAACCTCACACAACTATCGTCATTTTCATGCATTCCCACTCATTCTTATTTATTTTTGTCCTCACGGATCGTTTTTCACTGATTATCATTCTTACATAATACGACTTAATAAACATTCTGACAACATTCAGATAGAATAAGAATAATAATAAAAAGTCTATAATAACCTTATAAGTGATTGAATTACAGAATACGACTTAATAAATATTCTAACAACAGTCTATAATAACATATTCATATTATCAAACAACATATTTTCTTTGTTATTCTCACAGAATAGCACTGTCCACACATCCGCACAATAGATGTCAATCCACATTTGAACCCAGCTCACACACACACACACACACACACTCTTTCTCTCTCTCTCTCTCTCTCTCTCTCTCTCTATATATATATATATATATATATATATATATATATATATATATATATATATATATATATATATATATATATATATATATATATAGTCGGGTTAGTAGGTTGATCCACGAACCCAAATAGCTAACCCAACCTAACCCATAAAAAAAACCGGTTGGTGGGTTAGCGGGTAAAAAATCTCAACCCAAACCCACTTATTTTTATGTCGGGTTCGTATCGGGCTACATATTGGGTCTAGAATTGTCACCCCTAGGTAGACCATATGCAGGTATAAGACAAACTTTTGGACAATTCCTAACCCTTTTGTTTATAGACTAGAAAGTTATAACGAATAGACCATGTCATGCTTAAGTATAGCGGACAGACGTAGAACAATCTTTAAAACGGTTAACGGCATGAGTGTCTTCGCATCAATCTTCATCACAATCTTCAAATAAGTTCACATAATCTTTGTATCATAAAACACTTATTTTTACATGTAAAAAAACATTTTAAAATGTATAAAAAACCAATCTTTAGATGTATAAATTTTATTTTTAAAGTATAAAAATATATAAAAAAAGTTTTTCTTATATATTTTGAGACAATTTACGAAATAGTCTCAATATTTATATTTTTTGCAGAAAAGTTTCAATATTTGGGGTCAGTTTATGAAATAGTCCCAAATTAATTTGTTACCGGCTAAACAATGAAAAAAATGGTTAGAATGCAACATTTTGCCAGTTTTTAGGACTTTTTTGCTAAAAAAAGTAATTTGGGACTATCTCATAAAGTGACCTAAAATATTGAGATTTTTTTGGGTATTTCGTAATAAAGCTGAATGGATAGATTGATTAAAAAAACATTGAACTAAAACTGTAAAATATCAAAGTTAAATCTAGACAAGTTGTGGGAGCTTATTTAATCGTAAATTTGCCCAAATTATTTATGAAGTCTACTTTAAACAATTAGAAAACAAATAAAGAAGTTTTTAACAGTTTGTATCTTGTTAAATGGCAGATAGTTATATATTTTCGAAATAAAGGACGTGTCTGACATGGAGCGTCTGAGAGCGTTTGAGAACTTCTAACTTCTAGTGTTTGACAATGCTCCATTTTGAACAGAAAGTCTCGTTCGACACTACAAACGTCTAGCGTTTAGTTTAAACAAAACGCTCTAAATCCAAATGTTACTTCACGTAGCGTTTAACAAAACGCTAACAACTAGAAGTTACCCGCTACCTGCTACAAGTTCCCGACTACCAGCTATTTTTTTCGAACACGCCCAAAATATATTTGACTTAGCCAATGATAAATATTAGCGTTTAGGGTATATATAGTTTCTCGAAATATATTAGAAATAAAAACTAATAATATATATTCTTGATTATTTAAAATAAAAGTTTTAACTAATAATATATATTCTTAATTATTTAAAATAAATGTTTTTATATTTATGAATTAGAGACTTAATTCAACCATTAACGAGGCTGAAAATGTATCAATTTTGTATTTCTTGGAATCCAATTCATTTTTATATATATCCCGAGTACCATCATCTATGTTGATGAAGTTCATATTTCAAATGCGTTCTAGCTCCATCCCCATCTTCCTTTCAACGCTCCATCTTCATCTATCACCGCTCCATCTTCATCTTCGTTTCAACCAGAGAGTTCTTTTATGTTGTGTTTGGATCTTGGCATCGGTGGGTCCGTTTTCATATCTAATTACGAAATATGAAGGAATCCCTGAATAGAAAATCATGAAACAAAGAAGAGGGTATCAAAGAGATTTTCATTGTACCAGAGATAATGTGTCAAGGTGAGTCGTTGAATTTGTAATGACCCAAATTTCCTTAGGTTAATGTGGTTAGTCTCCCGTTAAGTTACTTCCTTTTGTTGGAATCTTTCATGACCATTAGATGTTATTATTATATTAATATTTTTTTTTTTTGGGGGGGGGGGGGGGGGGGGCAGAAGTGTGAAAATATAAACCTTGAACCTATATATGGGGAAGGCGGATTTTGCAAAAGTTTGAGGGTCTAAAATGAAAGTTTGGCCTATTTAAGAAACCCTAACCCTAAGTGACGAATTTCATATCATTTTCCATCCTCCTTAATCATATAAACTCTTTGTAAGGTAGAGCTTCCTTTCTTAAAAGTCTTGGATTAATCAAGGAATTTTGGTGATGATTTCTTGAAGATTGGTGGCTTAAAGTGCGTCCCCTACACCCTCTATCTTTGATCTTTGTGGATTCTACAATTCCAAAAGATTAAAACCCTTTTCCTAAACTAATTCCTCTATTTTAATTCAGTGTAATCACATAGGTAGTACATTCTTGAAAACCAAGCT